CCAAAAGCAAACAACCCCCCAAGACCCATTGGAAATGGGGAAAAAAACCAAAAGCAAACAACCCCCCAAGACCCATCGGAAATGGGAAAAAACCCAAAAGCAAACAACCCCCCCAAGACCTATCGGAAATGGGGGGAAAAACCCCAAAACAAAAAACGCCTCAAGGCCCATCACAGCACAGAAACATAACCCCCCAGCCCAAAACCACACTGCAAAACCCAACCAGAACAGCCTCCTCTGATCGCACTCACCCTAACCGTTGGGGCAAAAGAGCTACAAAGAAGCAGCCTCGCCGCCACCTACAGTTAGAAATTTGAATTTCTTGCCTTTTCCCCTGCCTTTTTCTGTGCACAAGTGGAAGCTCCGGTCGCAAGTAGAAGCAAAATTTTGCAGCCAGAGCTGTCATAACTTGAAATGGTCATAAGTAGGGATGTTCGTAAGTTGAGGCACCACTGTAGCTTGGAATCAACTAGAGAGGCAAATTATTATTATTTTTAATCAATCACTGTATCCAGAATTGGTTGTAAGAATATATATAGGTATGCATACTGTACATAAAACAACTTTCCTCATCAGAATACATCTCAGCAAATGTAGCCTCTTCCCTGATCTTAGCCCACTGCCCCAACAGTTTCCATTAAGATCACTATAAATCTGCCACTATTAGCAGTTGTTAAACAGCAGGAACGTAAGTTCTGACTTGACTCATCCTTGTACAGTAAAAGAGAAGCCTCCAAACTTTTCTTCTCTTGTATAAACCACCATGGTATGGTGAGCTTTCCCTCCTCAATCTTGGAGAAGTTTGGTACATTTTAGGGGCTGGATAGCTCAGTGAGTTAGGTATCTGGCTGCAGAGCTAGAAGTAGGGAATTTACTGGGCCTCCCAGAATAGTGATGCATTCCAAAATGAGAGGAGATTAACAGAGAGGAGCTGGGTGGATAACTCAGTAGTTAGTAGTTCAAGTAGCTGGCTGTGGAGCCAGAGGTTGGGAGTTCAATTCCCTACTGTGCCTCCTGCAAGTAGAGCCAGCCTGTGTGGCCTTGGGCAAACTGCATAGTCTCAGGACACCCCCACAAGAAGGGAATAATGAACCCCTTTTGAGTACTCTCTACCTAGAAAACCCTGAAAGGTATCACCATAAGTCAGAACTCAACAGGGCAAAATTAAAATTAGTTTGTTTCTGTACAATGTATGATACTCAAAAACGTGGTAACTGTTCTCTTGTTGAATGAACAAGAAAACGTAATGGCAGTCAATAGGTTGCCTGTTCTTTGTGAGCAACAGTTTTCCATTGTGCTTGCTGTTGTGAAAGCACAATGGAAAGACACGAGGAAAGACACTAGCTTTGTGCAGAAATAATTTAAATATTCCAGTCTCGTGTGAACCAAATATAGTTTCCAAATTATAATTTTGGAGTGTGGGGTGTGGCTTCTGGCAACAAGGAGGGGCAGTATAAGTAGAATTTAGAATGTCTGCTCTAGATACAACAAAGAGCTATAGAAACAGAAAGGAAACAGGTTATTTATGGCATGTGTATGCGCATGCATTTGCCATGTTCCAAAACCTTGTTCATAAACTGTCCGTTCCAACCCTACCTCTACTTCAAAGATTACGCCTAGGAATATCTGACACTAGTTTTGTACAGAAACAGGAGTTTTCAAAAGATTATAATTTTTTTTTTGCAAACACTGCAATTCAAAAATAAATTGGTGACCATTTGCTAGAGCTGAGACCTTTTGAAAGGGTTTGAAGCCAGTATAGAATGGTGTACTTGTGCAAGATCCCATTGGATCATTTGGAATCAGCAGCTCCTCTTGCTTTCTGCAGGATCCCATATACCCCAAAATCCCTCTGTAGGAAACTGGTAAATTTTCTGTTACAAAGTATTTTTGGCACCACGGGGATTTGCAGAATAAGGTGGGGAGGACTAATGGGGTTCACTAATAAAGCACGCTTGTATCTTGGCTGAAGAATGTTTGAGAAGGTGACTTGCCATGTTCAGGCTGCCAGTCCTGAGGAGAATCTATGAAATAGTTAGATTTCTTATTCCTCATAAATCACAGTCTCAGAACCTAAGGCATGATTGAGGTTTTCTCCTGTACAACCCAGTTGATATGCTGAGCCGGAGGACAGTGTTTGGGCTCCTGCCAGCTTCAGGGACAAACCAGGAGGATTTAACTATATGCAATTCCAGGGCTGTAGGCATTGAACCCCTTGAATAAAACATAGTCAATATTCAGATTTCATACACATTTATGCTGCAGCTAAATAACAGGCTGTATTATTTAAGAGATGAGTACAGATGATAATTAATCTGGAGCAATGGTAGCAATTTCCCACTTGCTATTACTACAGGGCCACTAGATTTAACCCAACATCAATCACTTGATAGCAGCACAAACATAATAGATGAGAATGAATGGAGAGTTCATCCAGAGGGCTTGTTTGCTTTCCTTTAACTAAGACTTAATTGCAATCACTCTTCCATTTCCCACAGCATACAGAGAATATGTGACATTGGTTAGATCAATTACAAACCGCTCCTGGGCTAGTCAATATAATTCCTTAAGGAAACTTTATCTTACTTTTCTTTTTAGTGGGCTATATGAGTTCATTTGCAGGTGTGTAATTGTCATGTACTGTTTTAAAATTGAAAACAACTTTTAAAAACAAGTCCAGTTCCAATAAAGCAACAAATTGCTCTGATCTTCACCATTTATTAGAACTCCACAATTTTATGGATATATGCCCTGTGCTGTTGAACACCGGACTTTGCCAGTCCCTTGGATGTCAATAAAGTTTCAGCCCCATTTTATGTTGATACATGCCTTTTAATACAAGTAAAAGAGAGGGATTTTTGTCTGCATTAGCCTCTTCAGTATTATTAAACACTCTAGAACCAGACCATTAAATGAAGCATTCTGTATGCCTTTCTTGATGAGAGGAGGATGTTTTGTTGGGACCTGGGAAGCCCTGAGTGAAAACAAGGGGACTTTGTGTATCATCTTCATTGTAAGGTCATCAGGAAGGGAGAGCTGGCCATTGCTGAATGACCAAATATTTACCCTAATTAACAAAATGTCTAAGGCAGCCGTCATAATTCTCTGTCATGCTGCACATACACACCAGAGTAAACTTAAAGTGCAGCTTGACACAGCCTTCTAGTTTCCTCCAGTGAATCACCGTCTGGTATATTCTGAAAGGAAGTATTCTTTCTAATGCCAGCAGCTGTTAACTTGGATCCATTCCGGGTCAAGCCGAGAGCTAGGATTTAGGAAACTAAGGCTGAGCCAATCTCAAGTTACCTGCAGGGTTGGTAATTTTGTCATTGCTATTGTTGTTGCCAGTAAGATTGTTTTAAAGTTTAAGCTGACGCTCAACAAGGGTCTGTCTGAGTCACTGGTTTGTTTCAGATATCATGGTAAATCAGAATTTATCTTGTATAAGAAATGTGATGGTGAATCATTGTCTACTTGTCTCCACTGCTGAAATAAACCATTGGCCTTGGGCTTTGTGATATGGTTATCAGAAAATGTGAACTTGGCAGAAGCCAGCTTTCTGGTTTTGTCTCAACCCTTCTAAGTCAATGAAATAACCCTACCACCACAACAAAAAACAAACAAACAAACAAACAATACCCTTCTAAGCCAATGAAATAACTCTACCACCACAACAAAACTAACTAACAAACAAACAGGCAACGACACCCATAAAGCTTTACAATATTTATCTGGCTTGTCAGAGAAGAAACAATTTCATCATCCTTTTTGAAGGAAGAAACAGAGAGAAAGCTCCTGCAAGCTTCACTGTAAGCAGGAATGATTATCCAGCATGTACAAGCATACTGGCTCATGAAAACAGGATTCTTTTGAATTCTTTAGTTGGGATCAAAGCTAAGGTATCAGTTCAAAGGGAGAAGGATGCCAAAGGAAGGAGTAGAGAAATAAGCAGGATGGCCATAGTATGAGAGCAGATAGCATTTGTTGTTCTCATTTTGCGTGCTACCTTGTGACAACTTTCCCTCAGAGAGTGGTACAGAAACATTTTAAATAAATATAATAAGATTCCATTTGTGTGAATGGCGTCTGGACATTACATGCTCAAATAATTAACCCTTACCTGATTTGGAGCCATGTAAGCATCGGTGTAGTGCCTCCTCCAAGTACCCAAACTGTGAAGAACACAATTAGTAAGGTAGTTGTAAACATCATTTGCTTGGGCTGAGATTCCGTGTCTCGTATAGCTAGTGCAAAGGCTATTGCACCACGTAAACCTTTAGAAAAAAAGAAAAGAAAAGGGAGGGCAGAATGTCATATTACCCCTATGGAGAAGAGCAAAGCTTTTCCTACAGATTTTTAAGGGGAGATAATAAGCTTTCCCTTAATTAATGGTTGCCTGAGTGGGGCTCTTAAATAGATTCTTGTGCCTTACAGGTTTTTGATTTTATGTTTATCCTCTTTTAGTGTGGTATTTGTGTGGTCCTTTTTAGTATTTGTATACTGATTAGATTTAGCTTTAAATATTGTATTTGGATGAGGCAAGCTGCCTTGGGTTCTTCTTAAGGAGAAAGTTGGAGTAGAAATGTTTCAAATAAATAAATTAAACAAACATACACTATAAAAGAGAAAAATGATGATAGCACAATTATCAACGGGTATAGCTTGCAAAATTTACTTCTTTTGGAGTAACTTGCTGGTGGGGGACATTCTGAGAGTTGTAGTCTGAAAAGAAACTTCTCTAAGCACTGCCTACAGCAATAGTATGTGTTTTTCCTCTCTAATAATCATTCAGACAAGATTGGAATACAATTCTTGAAGGCTTTCACGACTGCAATCCGATGGTTGTTGTAGGTTTTTCGGGCTGTTTGGCCATGTTCTGAAGATTTTTCTTCCTAACATTTTGCTAGTCTCTGTGGTCGCCATCTTCAGAGTCCTCTGAAGATGCCGGCCACAGAGACTGGCAAAACGTTAGGAAGAACAACCTTCAGAACATGGCCAAACAGCCCAAAAAACCTACAACAAACAGTGGAATATAACCAATTATGAAGGCTCTAATTCTGCATTTCTTGCACTGAGCACTACTAGACTAAAATAAGCAGGTTGGACAGCATGGTTGAGAAGCCCACTGGCTGTTCCTATGCCTTATACTATCTGCTTAGTTTCATCAATGGAATGTTGCTTGTAAATAATCTTGTACTAAGATTCAGTGCCTTTAGGATCTCTGTAATTAAATCTATATGCTGCACATTTCTTTAATTTAAAAATATACGGGAATACCAAAAATATTTAGCTTAGCTGTACCACAATGCTCATTTTTGAAAATAGGAGAAACATAAATCATGCGATATGTCTTTATTCCTGAGGCACTAATAATAAGACAAAAGCATAAATCAGTCTAAAATCCTCCAAGTCTCAAGATACTTATTCCGGAATTTTCCCATTTAAAGCATTTTGAACAAATTATTTCACTGTTGCTGGCAAATCTTTTTCAGAAGTCAGCGTCTAATTCTGCAAACAAGGGTTTATATTTTAGATGATATAAAAAGCACTTGATTCCTCCACCCACATCCCCTATGTATGCTCACAAGCAGAAGCAATATCTTGAGCAAACTATAGGTTGAGAAATAAAATAATTAAATTCCGACATAAACCTGACAAATACATAATAATTCGAACACATCACACTAGCCTAACTTTTCATCTTGAAATCAGTAATTCGAACACGTCACACTAGCCTAACTTTTCATCTTGAAATGCAAACAGAGCTAAAATGATCAGTACCTTGAGCCAGGCCTCTCATGACCCAAATAATTATTCTAATTACCAGGTGGTCTCAAATATTATCTCTTGATTAAGCTGCTTGAGCAAGTGATTATGGTGCTAATCTAGATACCTCTGGATTTCACCAGTAATGTGGAACCATTTCATTCCAGATCCTAGGCTAAAGTTCATACTGAAATAGATCTTGAGCCAAGGTAGATGGCCTGTATTGGGACAAGGAAGGATGAGTCCAACCATACATTTGATTCTCCTATAGCAGGCAGTGTTATCATAGGCTATAATACTTTTCCCCCCTGGATTGGTCATCTAGGGCAGTGGTTCTTAACCTTTGTTACTCGGATGCTTTTGAACTGCAACTCCCAGAAACCCCAGTCAGCATAGTTGGTGGTGAAGGCTTCTGGGAGTTGCAGTCCAAAATGCCTGAGTAACTCAAGGTTAAGAACCAGTGATCTAGGGTGAGGACCAACGGCACTGTGTTTCAATGGTCTTGTTCTTAACCTTGGAAGGCCTTTTCCCAAAAGCAAGGAGGCACTCTTAGTCTGTTCCACTGAATGTATAGCATGGAATTTTGTAGGACCCTGTTGAAAATGGCATTGCTGTTTATTTAATATATTCACACAGCTGCTTACTGAGGACACTGGGGGTTTGAAGTGATGTGTAATCAATATACAAATGACATCCAATTCTGTATTTCTTTTTCATCTAGTTCATGTGAAGCTGCTATGTCTGAACTGTTGCCAGAACTTAGTAACGTACTGGATGAAAGTCAATCAACTGAAGTTCAAACCAGACAAAGTGCAGTACTTTGAATGAGTATGCCTATGCTGGCAGGGGGTGGCCAGGGTATTCTTGATGTGGTAGCGTTTGCTCTAAAGGGTCAGGTTCAAAGTCTTGTTCAAAGGCAGGTTCAAAGATGTTGTTAGGCTTTGCCTCACTTTTGCAGCACTCAGTGGGTCCTATGGAAATCCTTTTATCAGCTACCAGAATTCCTAAGATTACTTGCAATAGGAAATAACTTAAAATGGGTTAGGTCTGTAGTGTAGATTATGCTCACAACTTATGTGGGGGAAAAATATCTCCTTTTTATATCAGTTAATGAAAATAAGAAATTGGCACAAACCCTGAAAGGCTCAATGAGTGAAAAGTTCCCAACAAGATTTTGTTCAAGGGTAGCGAACCTTTTCAGCCCGTGTGTAGAATTTAGTTGAAGAAAAGTTCTCAGAGGACTAATTTCAGTCATGGATTGGGACCAGAAGAAAAACAGAAATGTATTTTATCCAAAGTTCAGGGCAAGAGACTTGTAACTAGGAATTTTGGCATCTGGGCAAGTGGTACTATTTCCACTTGTATAGTCCACTCTGAGGCATGGACATGCCCCCATCAAAAGGAGGAGAATGTGGTATCTTCCCCAAAACAGAAATATAAAGTTTACAGTCCCAAAAACGAGGAAAGTGAATAGTGCCAAGAAGTGTTGCCATTTATTTTCTGAACACCAATAGATTCAGCTCTAAATATTGGCACTCTCTCAATCTTAGGGCCCTGGGACAAATCTTTAGCTGCCCCAGCCCAGTTACATTCCTGACTTCCAGTGGTCAATTTTTGGGAGAGACATTTTGACCTTTCAGAATTGGGAAAACCCCATGCAAAAGATGGGAAACCACTGAATGGTAATATAGTGGGAAAGGGGAAGCCCAGGATGCAGGTTGGGGCCTCAAGTGGGCAATTCAGCCCAAGGCCTTTAACAGAAAGAAACCAAGAAAGATGTGAGAAATGAGGGACACATTACAGAATTCTGTCTCTAAAGTTAGGAAACAGCCCCCAAGTTTGTGTCTCTAAACTTCTGAAATGTATGTAACTCTTGATGTTGACACTTTATAGATACCCCCTTTTGGAAATTTAGATGACCATATGTATGAGGTAAAGTAACTAGGAAAGTGTCCTTGAAAGCCCACTTGTATAAGGAATTAAGAAATCTCTTCTAAAGACAGAGGGGCTCAAAAATCTGCATGATGGTACATTATCTGTTTATTCAGCTGCCTTGTTGAGTGCCTTTATGCATAAGATGCTCTTCTGAAATGTGAATGCCATATGGATTTATTATTGGAATGTACAAATCATAGGGCTCAGGAAACAATAGCACAGCTACTGAATGCTGAGACGCCAGAGTTATTTCAAGCACACATTTTAGAAATCCACGGTTGTTTGCAGCTCTGTAGGGAGACCGAAGAAACAGAGCCAAACCATTTCCTTTTCTGATTTTTGTGTTTCTGAACAGGGAAAATCACATTTCATTTATGCAGTGCTGTTTAGCTCATGTGCAATAAACATTATGGTGTTCTGGGGAGGTAAATCTATGCTGTCTAAGGGGAAACAATCAGAATAAATGTATGATGGCAAAAAGATATGTTGTAGACATTTTGTTCATGAAAGGCAACAAACTTATTTATATCCCAATTGATTATAACTAGGAAAGGATGACATTGTCCCCTCCTAAGAAAAGGCGAGTTATTTCCACGGCCAGGGCCAGGACTCAATACAGTTAAAACTGAGGATTGTGATCTGCATAGGTTTTAATACAATGGTTTTAATGTCTGCATGGCTCGGTGTTGTGGTTTAAACTATTTGATTTTAAATTGTTTTAAACCTCTTACTTTTTAAAATCATTTTCTACAGCTCTGTAACCTGCACTAAGATGGCTAAGATCTGGAGCTTATGAGTGCTATTGCTCACAGCTCACCTGCACTTTCTGAACATTTACTTGGTGACAAGAGCAGAGTAAAAATGTAGCTAATGCTGGGTTGATCAGGGTCATAGACAGTAAAGATAATGGCTAGGAAGTGGCATTTTGCCCAATCCCCCTCAAAACCACTGTTAGGTTGGTATCCTTAGGTTGGGTGTTTTTCACAGCATGCTTTCAGTACATGACAGCATAATTTTGTGCTTCTTACTGTGAGTGTCACAAAAGATGATTCAATGAATGCTGAGATCATGTGCTCATATTTATATTGCCTGGCTTTTTTTTTCTCAAAGTGGCTCTGGAATACTTACTAAAGCATTCTATGATTTGGATACTTAGGGCCTAAATATATACTGGGGATATTACATAATTAAAACTGGGTCCCAGTTCTGGGAGAAATGTAGTAGACAAAGAAAGAAAGAAAGAAAGAAAGAAAGAAAGAAAGAAAGAAAGAAAGAAAGAAAGAAAGAAAGAAAGAAAGAAAGAAAGAAAGAGGAGTTGAAGAGGTGTGAATGCGACTGTGTTTTGTGTCTAGGAAACCAGATGAATCTGCTTAGGGCCTGAAGGCCAGTCATAAAATGAAGCAAACTAATTTGCAAATTAACTGGAGGAGAGAAAAGCTTTTGCTATGGCAATCAATTACAACCAATTAGCGCTTAAGGAATTCCCTCTTCTAGTAATAGGTTGTCTATAATATACAGTTGAACTGTGATTCCTCTTGCATCACCTCACCAGCAGCGGCAAGGACAGAAATGT